ATATTAAAAAAAAAAAAAAAATTGAGGTTTTCACCTGCTTTATGACATTGTGTGATCTTACTGCAGCAATAAAAACACAATAAAGCTGCTGATGTTCTGCATGACGATGTTCTCCTTGTTCTCCAGGATCGATCCCTGAGGAGGACGGAGGGAAGCTGTATAACAGCTGTACGGTGTTCGGTCCTGATGGAGATCTGATCCTCAAACACAGGAAGGTCTGAGTTCATCTCTGGAGTTACTTTACTTCACTTGAAGATCACAGCAGCAGGACAGTCACATGGTTTCTCCTCTTTTAAGATTCACCTCTTTGACATCGACGTTCCGGGGAAAATCCGCTTCCAGGAGTCTGAGACTCTGAGTCCGGGTGACAGTCTGTCCACGTTCGAGACCCGTAAGTGACTCTTGTCTCCTCTCCGTGGAATCTCTCACAGCTTAAACGAGCTCCCTCTGACCCCCGTTTTCCTCCGTGGTTCCTCCCTCAGCGTTCTGTAAAGTGGGCGTGGGGATCTGCTACGACATGAGGTTTGCAGAGCTGGCTCAGCTCTACAGTCGGAGAGGTGAGCGGCCGATTGGACCGGAGGTTTTATTTATAGAGGTGTGAGGTTCGAGTGGTACCGGTGTGTCTTTGTGTCCTCAGGCTGTCAGCTGCTGGTCTACCCCGGAGCCTTCAACATGACCACGGGACCGGCTCACTGGGAGCTCCTTCAGAGGGGGAGGTGAGACCCCGAAACCACCTCCTGGTTTAGAGAAGAACCACCGATCTGTTAGAGGGAAGACCTCTTTAGAGGGTTGATTCACGTCTCATGAGCACAGTTATTCTCTTCTTTTACAATCTTGCATTCTTATTAAATAATATAAGATTATCCTTTATTAGTCTTACAACGAGGAATTACAGCAGCAACAACAAGAGACATCATTAATAAAGTATCGTAAATAAGTCATCAAACAGTAAAGGTATGATAAAGTAAACCTTTAAAAAACAAGAACAACTCAAATAAATAAAGTTCTACTGAATGCTTCATATTATTAAATAATTAAATTACTTAAAATTAAGTAATTTAAAAACTATTAATTACTATTTTATAAGCAGGCTAAATAGAACCTGATGCTGAATTCTTTGATTGATGTAATTAGTTTTTAGTCTCTTTAATGTGAATTTAATTTGATGTTTTTATGTTATTTTATATAATATAATAAAGAATATAGTAAACTAAAACTGACACGAAAAAGAAAATAAGCATTAAAAAAATATGAACTAAAAAATGAGTTAACTAAATAAAAATCCTTTAAGAGAAACTAACCCTGAACGATATTATCTGGTTAAAAAACTAACAACAAACTAACTAACTAAACCTAAACTAAGTCTATGAAACACATTTTGAGGATTTATTCAAACTAAACTATAATTCAATAAAAACAAATTGAAAACTATGATAAACGTGATGAGAGACTTGGAAGAAATAGCTTTAACTAAACTCTAAAGTTCTTTAATATATATATCTGATCATCAGAAACAGACAGACTGTAAAATATAACTTTTAATGCTTTACAAATGTAAATGCATTTTGTTATTTATATTTTTTTATCGGTCAAATGAAAAAGATATTTTACACTACAGGTACATGTTTTCTCCATGTTGTGATATTTATGAATCACTTCATATGTTTTGGTATTCACAGCCTCCTAGAGGAGCTCCTGTGTCATGTGACCTTAGTGGTCTCCTTGTCTCCTTTCCTTGTCTCCTCCTCAGGGCTCTGGATAACCAGGTGTTCGTGGCCACAGCGTCTCCTGCCCGAGATGAGGCGTCCTCGTACGTGGCCTGGGGTCACAGCACCGTGGTGAACCCCTGGTACAGAAACACCCACAACATGTTTCCTCTGACCTTTTCTCCACTCTGCCTCCTCGTCTCCTCTGTCCTCCTGCCTGTTACCCAGAAATCATCTTGAAAATCACATTTTAATGCCTCAGTTTGGTTGTTTTTCCTCATGGAAGCTTTCATCACACATGATGTGTTCACGGACCGTTGGAAAGATGACAATCTGAGGATAATGTCGTTTTTTTTGCCGATCATTTTTAAAAGAAAACATGCTTTTCAAGTTCAGAGGGTTAACTGAAGTTGCTTTAAATTGTTGAGGAGAGCAGGCGAGGAAAGGAATCAAGGATGTACAAACTGAGAAACGAGAAGAGCCGCGTGTCTGACTGTTATGTGCGGTGAAGGCAACACAAGTTAGTTTGTGAATGAAAGGTTTGAAACAATTCAAACCAAACAGATGAAGAAATCTGCTCAAAGTAAAACAGAGTTCACTACGTTCAGAACCGCGCTGGATGTTTTCTACTCGCAGCAAATACTTTGACATACTTTAACGTTATAAATATGAAGTTATGTATTATAATGTTCCTTTAAGTTGACTAACGGACGTATTATCTTCAGGAATACACAAAATATTTAAAGTAAATTCCTGAGAGATAATTATCACGTACTTTATTATTTGAGTATTATTACAG